CTCAAGGATGATGGCCAACACACGAGGACCAAAGCAGCACAGCAGAAGGATCATAGCCTCAGTGGTGACCTCGACCATCCTGTACGCCGCGCCCATATGGGCCGAAGCCATGAAGACCGCAACATATAGTCGCCAGTGCAAAGCTGTCTACAGACGCTGCGCACTGCGCATCACAAGCAGCTTCTGCACGGTGTCAGAGGAAGCCGCGCTAGTGATAGCCGGTACAATACCGATAGACCTCCTGGCGGCAGAACGAAGGACAGGAAGCACAGGAAGTAGGACCCAGCGCAGCAGCACTATAGAGGCTTGGCAAAGGAGGTGGAACAGTGCGAGCACAGGACGGTGGACGCACAGGCTAATTCCCAGTCTAATCCCTTGGCTGCAGAGAAGACACGGGCAGGTAGATTTCTACCTCACACAGATGATCTCCGGGCACGGATGCTACAAAGAATACCTGTACAGGTTCAAGCACGAGCCGAACCCCTGCTGCGACCACTGCGGCACAGCAAGCATTGAAGACGCGGAGCACGCATTCTTCATCTGCCCCCTATACGCGAGGAACCGAGCCGAAGCTGAAGCAAGAACCGAGCGTTTCCTGACAGTGGATAACGTTATCAATTGCATGCTGGAAAACCAGAGGAATTGGGATGCGGTAGCCAACCTGGCTGCTGGCATCCTGAAGGACTTAAGGCGTCGAGAGCAGAGTCGACGCAACTAGCAATAAGGACGAGCGGCAACCTGACCGCCATCCGTCCCGCGAAGTATAGCTTTGCGGCGGTCCCGCGGGAACGGATCTTTTTCAACCTCTTCCTCTTATGCCCTTTGTATATTCTGTATATATTTAAGCTTTTCTTAATAAAAAAAAAAAAAAAAAAAAAACACCCGCACAGCCCAACGCACACTCGCGCAGAGCAATGGAAAATAGGGGTCCCACCCACACCTCTTTTGGCACGCAAAGTGTAGCTTTTCTTTTTTGGAATATAATGGAAAACGTCCCTCTTTCCTTCCTGTGCATGGAAAACAATAATTTGTTATCTGTCCGCTCAGAGATCCTCTCACTTTTGGGCCTAAGAGCAGTCTATAAATCACAAAAAACCGAAAAATATCCATCTATGCATGGGCTAGCAAATCGTGTTGTGTGTCGGCAAAAAGATAATTAAGACATTATGGCATATCTTCGCATGCACAAATAACAATGGAAAACCTCGTTTAATGTGGCGGTATTTCATAAATAATGATTAGAAATTAAATGGGTTCGGCACAGCGCAGGAAGCAGCTCCATTTACCACCAAACAAATTGCCAAACTAACGAGCCAAATAGGAGGAAATAAATATTAGATTAGATTAGTTTCTGCAGGAAGGTGTTTTACATAAGTGTATGCAAAAGCTTATTTCGAAAAATTAAACTTAGCTTTAATGGCTCAGAATACATTAAATGTTATGTTGAAATTAAATACAATAAATTAAAGCTAACAAAGCCTGCAAAATTGGCTTTTTTGATAAAAAAGTGAACAAATATTTTGGGCCAACATAATCCAAGCACTTAGTAACATAAATCTGCTTACTGAGGAAGTTTATATTTGTTAAATTGTGACAATGGTATTAAAAATATCAGCCGTTAAAAAATATGACGCCACAATAAGATTCACTTTGAATTAAATACTATCCGTACTGATTTAGCAACGAGGCGTGTTGTGTGTTACACTTTAATTTTTATTTTTAATTATGGAAAAATGTTGTTTAAAATAACAAAAAATGGAAATCTACAATTTTCCTAGTGGATAAACCAATTAAAAATGTTTTTAAAAGGTTTACATTTTGAAAAATCAATGTAATATTAAAATATTATAATGTTTAATTTTAATTTGGTGGTATTTTATTTTAAAAGGATTATATTTTGAAAAATCAATGTTATATTCAAATATTATAATGGTTAATTTTAATTTGAAGGTTTTTGGTTTGGGGTTTGTTGAGGCCTCACAAATGTTGCATATTAACAAAATATGTTCGCTTTGTTGTGAAAACATGATTAAAATATGTTTTTCGAGAAAATGGGAGCAAATACACGCTTTCTTGAAGATGCCTGGTTGTCCATTAATTTCCGCTTGTGCGGACTAAAACTATAAATCTAATTGAAAAACTAATTTGGGAGTAGCCAAAGTGAGGGGCATTTTCCAGCACCAGCGACAGATGCTGTATACAAATTTGTTAATTTCGCCAGCGCTAATTTGCTGTAACTAATTAAAAAACACTTTAAGGGAAATATTTCTCAGTCGCATAAATATGCCAAATGGTGAGGAGCGTTCCGACAGAGATGCACGGCAAGGAAAATCTAATTAATGTGCGAAACAAACGGGAGGGAAATTTATTTAGCGCATTGGCGGAAAGCAAAGGACACCTGTCTCCCTCTGAGTGTCCCCTCTTCATTTCGTCCTGGCGGCAATAATTGCGTACATTTTTCACAAACAGACAACAACAAGTGGGGAACTTCAAGTGCCTTCAAGTGCCGCCAATCTGTGCCCAGTGTGTTTTTATTTCTGTCTGTGCGATGATTTGATTCGGCTGCTTGTATTCCTGAAGCATCAGCATCTATATAGACTTTAGTACACTGTTGCTATGGCTTTGGCTAGCTTGGTACCTTTCTCACTCATATGTCTAACTGTCTGTTTGCCTATCTGTTTGTTTGTTTGCTCGTCCCAAGGACGAGCTTGTTTGCGCGTGTTGTTTGAATTGAATTTGTTGCAATTTGACGTGAATTGGATTGCGGACAGCCGGGATTTATGGGCCAAGCTGAAGAGGTTTTAAAAATGAAAAACCAAGGCGGTCAGTTCGTAAAATGTATGATAGAAATTACTTGCTTTTTTTCTTATCAATGTTTGAAGATAAATCGAACCACTTTGAAAGGAAATAAAATTTGCGGTGTTTTAAAATCTGAAACGAAATTAAATTAAATTTAATTGTATGTTTAACACCACAGGCTTGAAATCAATCACAGCCTGCTCAAGCTGCTGTAGCAGTAACCCAATTTATTGTTGAAATATATACATTTTTAATACAAAAAACAAAAAGCTTAAAATCACCTGCCTAAAAGTATGCTGTGAAAAATATACGATATTTTATCGTTTGCTTAAATAGATAAATCTTTCTATCGTAGCAAACTTTCAGTCACCTTAAAAATAGAACCCAATTTACCAATTTATAAGTATAACATTTAAGTCATATAAATGTTGGATACTTTTATTGTCCATTATTTATTGATTTCCTGTATTTCCGTTTTGTGTGCATACTTTCAGAGCCATGTTCAAACCGAGATCGATACACCTGCACGCACCTGTCGCGAGGGCGTTGTAATGCTAATAAATTGAGCGGTGCCATCGGTTTAATTAAAGAACCGTCAGTGCCGGACTCCGCGGAGGGTCCTCGACCAGGCTGAAGAGGCGGACGAGGTGGACGGGGTGGGAAAGGTAAGGGCATTGTTCGACCAGAAGGACACTCGCCAATCTGTGGACGCGCCTACGTTCGCCGCGGCCCAATCGGGCCACTGGCGGCTACCTGCTGACGGGCACAAGTGCGCCGCGCGACGATGAGTTCGTCACAGGACGAAGGCATCTCCACGAGCAGGGCAAGGACAAGGATAAGGACAAGGAGCAGCTGGGGCGGCGGGGCTGTGCGGCGGCAGCTGCCGACGAGTGTTTAATTAATGTGACGGACTTTAGTGATATTCGAATAAGTGAAGGGGCCGACGAGCCATTGGCACAAACCATCACCGAGTTACGAGTGCCCACCATAACGACCACAAACATCAGCAACAGCAACAGCAGCAGCAACATAAACAATAGCAGCAACATCAACAGCAACAGCAGCAGCAACAACATCAACAACAGCAACATCAACAGTAACAGCAACAATATCAACAGCAATAACAACAGCAACAACATGTCGCGCCTTATACAACCACGATATCGTTTTCGAGATCTACTACTCGGCGATTTCTCATTTAACGATGATGGCGAAAGGTAAGTGAATTTGTCCATTACACGTCATTACGCATACGCTCCGTTGTCCATACAGCAGTTACCGTACCGGGTCAGCAATTTTCTCACCCGGACAAAAATAAATTCTTAATTACACTCGCCAACTGCAATTGGCCAAATGATTTGCCCTATACTTTATGTTGCTTAGCTGGCGATCGATTAATCGATTTTCTACTACGGTGGGTATAGCACCAATTTCCTGTCTTCTGAATTGTTCATGCGAAGGTTTAAAGCTCGTTAAGCTAATCGCAGTCTAAGAAAATGGACAAACGGTTGACACTGAACGTGGGGGAATACTTGAAAAGGTCGATAAATTAGTTGGTTCAATAAGTAAAATGTAAGGATTTCTAATAACTGTCCATTACTGATGACTAAAATAGTAACAGTTTGATTAACTTTTTGCCATGAATATAAGGAAGCGTGTGCATAGCTTCTTAAAATTTGTTGAACAAAAATTGGTTTAAAAAAGTAATTCGATTCTGGAAACTGAAAGAAAATTGTTTTAGTTTCATGAACAGTGCAAACATGCGCTGCACTATTGGTTTTTTTTTTTTTTAACCTGTTACCTATTCCCCAAAGCCATTGTTTCAAACAAAAAATCTGCTATCTCATATGAAAACCTGTCGAAAAAGAAGAACTCCTAAAACCAATCAATATCCGCAGCTCTTGCCGTTTTGTTTGAGTGCCAATTCAGTGCGAGGAAAATTACAAAAAACCAAAGTGGATTCACTTCTATTGCAAGGGAAGGGACGCGAATAATTTGATTTAGCTATTGTTTGCTTTAACCCTAACAACGAAAACCATATATATGCCCATATTCTAGCTTTAAAGCACTTAAACGATTACGATAATCGTTATGAGTTTTTTATAATTTATAATTTATATGATTTTTTATAATTTAGTTATAGTTCAATGATTGCCCAGTACATTACTACCTTATTTTGTATGATTCTTTGCTTGATTCCAATGGGAATCAATGCGAAAGAAAAGGTGTGTGGCATTTTAAATTAAATCACCTTAAGAAATGTATAAAATTACAAATATTTCCAGGGTCTATTACTAAAAGCCGTGATTTTAAGAATGGAAGTGAATTACGCTTGCACTCTAATCTTTACTCGGCTTTGTACGAAGAATTTGTAGGTAATCTCACTGTTATTAAGTGTCCCACCAAGCCAAGCGTGTACTACCTAAAAAATAATTCCAAGGAAGTAGTACTGCCTTTATTTCATCCACCAGGAAATTTTCGTTTGATTATCGACATAAAAACAGAGAAGGAAGTATCTATTACGGCAAAGCTAATCTGGAGATATCGTGTTATGCGTATATAAATATGATTCAACCCAAATACCAAATGTCAATTAATGTGTATAAAAAAGGATTTGATCAATCTGGAAATGTAATATTACTTTATAATGCTTGAAAAACTAATGACGTATGTAATCTCTGATTGATAAAAATATTTTACCCATGTTGCTCATTAAACTATCCGCTTAAATGTCACAATTAATAGGTCATTAATAAGCTGAAGACCAAATCAATGGGGAAAATGGTTTGTTTGACTAGTCAGTAGCTACAACTAATGCATTCGGCCTTTAATTTTATTGGGGTTGAAAAGGGATTCAGTAATGCCATAGGTTTCACCGAAATGTTCAGTGTGCATGGTTCTGTATCCCAAGATTTCGGTCACCAAAAACACAGGTACTTTTCCCTATACCTAAAAAATAGCCTTTGTATACACATAGATAGGATAAACCTAAAAAATAGCCTTTGTATACACATAGATAGGATAACGGAATTTCTGATTTTAACTAGAAACTATCCTGACGGCTGAGAGGCAGAGAAAGAGAAAAGTCTCTCTTAGAAACATTTGACTAGCTCAACTAGATACTAAATTATTTTATAACATGTATATTAATAATTTCAAATCAGAGCGCCTTAAATTAAAAGACCGTAATTATATATTATATTTATTAATTATATATTTTAATTATATATTATAATAATATTATTCTTAAACAATTTAAACTATCTAAATAAAAATTTAAAATATATATTATTCATAAAAATTAACTGACGATTTTAAATTTTTATCATATTCTTACATAGTTAAAATTATTAAGAAAAATGTTGTTTGTTATTTATCATATTTTTAAATCAACTCCAGCGCTCAACCGGTACAAATACAGCGCCTGCGCTATCGGATTAAATGTTATGTAATGTAAAACAAAAATTCTAGGCTGTTACTTAACATATTTTAAAATCAGATCCTGATCTCAACAGAATCAAAAACAGTTTCAGCGGTTAACCTGTTCAAACGACTATTTTACATTCCAGAATTTTACATTAGTTCACTATTTCGCCGCCAGGGGGCGACAATGAGAGTAAGGATATATGCAACCCGCCAAACGGCCAAAGCGCCATCTATGTCTCAGTATGCGCGGCTTAGCTCGTAAAGCGTCATCTAAGAGTCATTAATTTTGGGTTGTGTCTTGACTATATGAGGATCAATTTGACAGGATCCCTTTGAAAACTGTGATTACATATATCCTTACTCTCATTGTCGCCCCCTGGCGGCGAAATAGTGAACTAATGTAAAATTCTGGAATGTAAAATAGTCGTTTGAACAGGTTAACCGCTGAAACTGTTTTTTGATTCTGTTGAGATCAGGATCTGATTTTAAAATATGTTAAGTAACAGCCTAGAATTTTTGTTTTACATTACATAACATTTAATCCGATAGCGCAGGCGCTGTATTTGTACCGGTTGAGCGCTGGAGTTGATTTAAAAATATGATAAATAACAAACAACATTTTTTCTTAATAATTTTAACTATGTAAGAATATGATAAAAATTTAAAATCGTCAGTTAATTTTTATGAATAATATATATTTTAAATTTTTATTTAGATAGTTTAAATTGTTTAAGAATAATATTATTATAATATATAATTAAAATATATAATTAATAAATATAATATATAATTACGGTCTTTTAATTTAAGGCGCTCTGATTTGAAATTATTAATATACATGTTATAAAATAATTTAGTATCTAGTTGAGCTAGTCAAATGTTTCTAAGAGAGACTTTCTCTCTTTCTCTGCCTCTCAGCCGTCAGGATAGTTTCTAGTTAAAATCAGAAATTCCGTTATCCTATCTATGTGTATACAAAGGCTATTTTTTAGGTTTATCCTATCTATGTGTATACAAAGGCTATTTTTTAGGTATAGGGAAAAGTACCTGTGTTTTTGGTGACCGAAATCTTGGGATACAGAACCATGCACACTGAACATTTCGGTGAAACCTATGGCATTACTGAATCCCTTTTCAACCCCAATAAAATTAAAGGCCGAATGCATTAGTTGTAGCTACTTAAAGCTGTAGTTGTATTAATTCATGGAACTACTGATTGTAAACCCATTTAATTAATAGTATGAGATCTCGACAAGATCTCCACCACCATATACTCTATGGTGCATCTACATACACACAACTATTCAGTCGCCATCACAGTTGTTTGAGAACCATGTACTTCTAGAAATTTTCCACCCTCACACACACAAGCAAACACGCACTACCGTTAACCAATCGAACTACATCTTTAAATAAGTCGATACTCTGGATTTTTGGATATAAAATGTGGTGCATCCATGGTTACAATATTCATTTCAATTTGTAAACACAATTTGTAAACATGAACACATCAAATACTTCCGTGATCTTCGTTGATGACATCACTGAGAAGTTAGTTCACGATGTTGATGCAGCTGCCGATCTTGATATGAATATTCAGCGCTCATTTTATCCAGCTATTACATCAACCCAAGAAATTCCTGAGGACCTGCAAAACTTAGAATTGGATGAAAATCCAATCGGTATGAGCTCCCAGGAGTATTTGGACTCCCAATTACGACGGAATGTGGAAGAAGAATCGTTCGCCTGGATGCTTACAGCCTTTGGACAACCAATAGAGGTGGAAACCATACCGGACTTCCCTGACGATGACAGCGTATTTGATGGAGTGGAAGATGCTGACCCAAATCCTTATTTAGATTTACTTAATGATAGTTGGAATCAAGAACTTTGTAAACAATAAAATAAATAAATAAATCATTAAAAAGTCAATATTTAAAAAATCTTTTTATTTATTTTAAATATCTTGGAATACTTCGAATTTAACAGGAACCTTGCAACCAATAAGAAAAATAAACAGAATATTAAAAAATCAATATTTTAAAATTTTTTTTATTCATTTTGGATAGCTGGAAATACATCGAACTTAACATTGTTTTGATGTTTTAATGTAGTTATGTTCGGTTCATTAAAATGTTCGTACATAAATTTGATGTTTTCTTTAAGATGGAAGTTATGCTTCAGTAGTGTATGCATATACAAATTGTGTCGCAGCCAGAATTTTGTTATTTCAGGACAAAAACCACATTGATAATAACACGATTTCGATTTTGGATAGCTGAAGTTGTGTATTTTCAAGGTATGGTGTTTTAAACCATTACGAGTAGAAAAGGTTTTCGGATAAACACACAACTCACAAATAAACGCTTCCATTCCGATTCTATAATGAACTGAGGAATATCAGATGAACATGACCTTTAAATATGATTTTGAATTGAAATTTTGAATATATGTGTTTATATACTTTTGTCCATAATATATATTTGTATATTGTATATATTTATATACTATTGTACATAATATATATATATTTGTATATAGTATATATTTATATACTATTTTCGTTGTAAATAAGGGCTTCGAGAGTATAAAAGGCTATGTATTATTCTGTAAGTAAATTAGTACACATTCGGTATTTACCAGAAAATAATCAATTCCTACAATCCCAATTCAAAATGGTATGTGTGTTTAAATGTTTATATAATATAATATGATAATTAACTTGATTCTTCAGGACTTCATATCCACCCTAAATGAGTTAAAACCTCTGATTGGTTATACAAAAATTGAAAATCTATGTATTGGATTTGAATATAAAATCATTGGATGTAAACTAAAGAAAACACCATATGGAAATAAAATAGCTCTTTATTTAACAGACAAGGACAACGAGCATATATGGGTTTTTCTACCAAAAAATTATGTAAACAAGTTTTCTACTAAGACACCCTTTAAGAAATTAAAAGAGAATGGTATTTCTCATCTTGTATATAAGGGGAAAGATATGAACAAATACAGTCCTGTAAACATTGAATTTTTGTCTTTAAATAAATAAAGTATATAGTGAGAATTTCCTCATATAAACCCCAAAGATTCTCTTTTAAACATCAGTCTGGTTCTCAATCTAAAGGAGTGAAATCATATTAAAACCCAACAAAACAAAAATGCTGGCTAAACAAATTCAGTTGTTTTTGATTCAGTTCGAGGATATGATTTTCGAGGAGCACGTTACTAGACTGGATTATTTACGCATTACACTGGAGGATTTGGCTGAAAAAGAGTTAATTCACTCAAAATTTGGATTTCACTACAAGCTTTGTCCCTGGAGTGATGATGATGCAGAGGTTGGACCAGACACATGCCAATGTCATAGACTCCCTATATTACAAGACGAAGCCCTTAATATTATGTTAAAATATTATAAGTTGAATCAGAGACTGTATAGATCCGAAACAATAAATAATCTTAATTGATTTTAATTAAAAATTACTTGTCTTTTTATTTTTTAAAATATTTCTTAAACATTTGCAGAATTAACTTATCGTTATAAAAAAAGTCATTTCGCTTAAAATTTTTTAGGAAGCATTTCAATGATTTTTTTTTACATTTAAACAGACCGTATAGTATACAATAATGACCACAAGTGTTTGAAAAATAGCCTTGAAGTTGCTGTTTATTAAACAAATATTTAACCGAATTTTTTCTTAAAAATGTAATGAACTCTTTTTTTGAGGATATTGGCCATATGAATCAAAAAATTCTGCGGATCTATTACTTTTGAAATGGAATGCAATCCAATGAGTTCCTGGTTGGGTTGAAGTATCAGTGTTTGCAATAATTAGCGCTGGAAACTTTAAAATAGTTGATGGTAGTTGATCTGATGGGAAAACTCCTTTAAATATAGATTTTGTATATGCATTCTTAGACAGTAAATTATGTATTTGTAATGTATTCATATTTAAAGAAGAACTCGGATATTTCGATTCTTATCAATATCTATCATTGAATCGTATTCACAATAAACTAAACAAGTCACTGCTTCAGCAAGTGGTACTGAAAATCGACCTTCAATCCTAATAGTTCCTTGAGATATTAAATTCGAGCAAACCGTTGAGTTTGAATGATCAGCAGTTAAGTCAAAGGCTAATATAAAACTATTTTTATCAAACATTTCCTTTGTAATTTGCAGTCCTCGATCGTAATGTTTTATTCCAGTTCCTCTAAATAGCATATTATAACCTCTTGCACTTTGTGCGTTTTCAGCGCTCGAGTAATCAAACTCTAAGGCTTGAGAAGGAACTTGAACTCCATTTACCAAAAGATTAAATCGTTGAATTTTAAAATGTTCGAAATCGAATGGATCCAAACTACGATTTCCTGAGTATGAACGGTTTTTTACCATACAAAATGCTAAAAAATTTGGTAGCTGACCGATAACTGCGTTATCTATTGATAAAGTATTGTTTCCAGGGTATATTGTAAAAGACTTTACTTCGACTTTGTTAAATGGGTATATAGCATTTTTGGTTTGTAATACATGATGATGAGCTAATAGTATGCTGGGGTTGATAGTTATATGATTCATGAAAAGTTGAGCTTCTAATATCTTTAGATTTGATTCCGATTCATTTTCCATTAAATAAAATGCAGTTTTCTCAATATTGAAATTAATCCTTAAATCAACATTGTTTACGAGCAGTTTAGGTTGATTAAAAATATCTCCGTGAACTTTACCAAATAGTTCAACCTTATTACTATTTTTGAATATATTTTTTAGGGTATCATTTGTTGTGGGATAAACATATTGACCCGCAGTTATTCGTCCAAAATTTGGATAATAACCTTGAGCTGATAAGTGACTTTCAGAGGCATCACTACCGTAATTTAAAACTGTCTGCAAATATGCTCTATAATGGTAGTTATTATCACTCTGTGATACCAATATGTTATTTAAATAAACTGAAGAACTTCGAAAAATGGAATGTAGAATATTGTTTACTACACCCACGGTATTTCCTTCGATGGCACTGTTGTCATTTTTTCTTAATTGTACTACAAGACGTATATAAACACTTGATAAATCTCTATATGTTTCACCGTTACCCAAACAAACAAATTCGATTGAAGAAGCACTGTCTAATGATGCAATTGGATTGTATGATACTTCTTCAGTTTTTAGAATAGAGCTTTGTGTAGGGTGCGGAGCAAACAAATCCAATTCACTTTTCATACATTCAATATGGTTACTCATTGTGTCTTAGAGAATATATCGCTTATATTTAATTTTCTTGATAACTTTTTTTCTTTTTGCGGCGTTTTGGTACGTTTACTATGTGTTTTGGACGTTGAATGAAGTCTTTTTTTCCTTGCACTACGCTTTTTATTCCGTTTTCCATTACCATTTTGGAAGCGAGTCATTTTATCAATTGCTTTATTTGACAGATTTTGTAAAGCAATTTTACTTTGTTCTTGAACAATATTTCGTAATGGTTTTCTCCCGAGATCATTAATTACAGCTTTTCCAGTTTCAGTGGCTTGATCTTTTATAGCATTTAAGCCCGAAAGAAAAAGTGGTTTTATGTAGTTAAAAAGACCACTAAAAAAGTTCCCGATTCCTCGCCCTTGTTGAACTATTCGAGGTGATATATAAAGACTTCCTATATTACTTAATCCTCCACCAGACTGATTTAAATAATATTGATGATAAGATTTCACCATGGTGACTATTTTTATTCTGAGTTACTTATAATAGAGCAAGTATTATTTATAGTATAAATCTTTTCCTTCTTCTAAAGTGAAGAGTAGTAAATATTGGGACTACCGATGTTTCAAACGGTACCTTATATCCATTTGAATCTGTAATTAAAATTGAGATCTCGTTTGGTGACCAGATGTCTAACGGGTAATATTCAATATTTTTGAACTGAATATTTTTTCCTTTTCCATTATAATGTAAAACACGAAGACAACGGGGTCTTTTACTCCCAACAATTCTCGGTTTGATTATATCGGTGTAAATAAAAATTAATCCAAGTTCAGGTGTTTTTGATTCAATGGGTACATTAGTATATCTAAATGTTTCAGCATTTACTAAACTTATAAATTCTGCTTCGGGGTTTTCTATATCTTTAGAAGTATTTATTTCTTTATCTGATACATGTTTGATATAATTATTTAGATAAATGTCTGTAATTCCAACTTCCCAATCATCATTCATATCTTCAGGAATATTTACAATATTAGTAAATGCACATTTAACATTATCAGGAAATACATTTAGTGAATCATTACTGAGTAAGGTGATATAAAACTCATGTAAATAACCCATTTTAGAATTAAATATGGCAATTATTGGTATGAAGTCCAATTAAGTTTGTTTTTTCCTATTTGTACTGGATTTCTAGTTCTAACCGATCTACTTAATTTTTCACGTCCTGTTACATATCTTAGATTTTGAAATGGAGATGTTCCCGCTTTAATTTTTTTTAAATTTACTCTTAATTTGCGTTGTTTATCATTAAGCTTCACTTTTGTCACTGCCATCTTCTTAACATTTTCATTAGTATCTAAAAAGGAAGTTTCACTTATTTTTCGTTTGTTATCCAATAAAGTATTTTTTCTATTCGACTTAAAATCTTCATCTTCGCTTTCAGATGGTAAGTCAGGAAGTTCAACCTTTTTTGGAAGTGATTCATCAAATTTAAATTTAGTCCCCGAAGAACTAGGTTTTTCATCAATCCAATCAATTGTTTGGGACTCATTAGGTCTAGTTAATGTAAGAGGTGTCTTTTGATCATTTTGTCCATGCCATGATTT